GCTCAGGAGGCCCTGGGGGCCCAGGAGTTCCAGGGGGCCTAGGAGGTTTGGGGGCCTGGGGCCCAGTGAAGGCTTTGGGGCTCAGGGGGTGTCACTCACCAGCAGCCCCCTGACCGGGTGATGATGGGGATATGGCTGGGAGGTGCTCAGGGAGGTTCTGGGGGCTCAGGAGTTCCAGGGGGCTCTAGGAGGCTTGGCGGCTCAGGGGAGGCTCTGGGGGCCCAGGAGGGCTCAGTAGAAGGCTTTGGGGGCTCAGGGTGTCACTCCCCAGCAGCCCCGACTGGGTGATGATGGGGGATATGGTTTGGGGGCTCAGGGAGGTTTGGGGCTCAGTGAAGGTTTTGGGGGGGTTCAGGGGGGGTGTCACTCACCAGTAGCCCCCGACTGGGTGATGATGGCCGACATGGGGATGGTCTTGATGATGGTGGTGGTCCCGGGCTTGGTGGTGCTGGGGGACACGCTGCTGATGCCCAGGATGGTGGGGGCTTGGCCCCCGCCCTGCCTGCGTGGTGGTCAGGATGGTGGTGGGCTTCCCCTCCCCCGACGTCACCAGCTTCAGGATGGTCCCGGCGGGGAGAGGCCCCTTGGTCTGAAATTTGGGGATGGGGGGGGTCAGTTATTTGGTACTGGGGGGAATGGGATACTGGGGAGGGGTCTGGGATGGGGGGCACAGGGATTTGAGGGGGGTCTCTATGGACGACTCAGGGAGGGGTCTGGGGACGGGGTGGCGTGGGGAGGAGGGGGAGTTGGGAACAAAGAGGGGTCTCAGGGACTCAGGGGGGTCTCAGGGATTTGGGGGGGTCTCAGGGATGTTTTTGGGGGGTCTTACCTGGATGATCTGGGTGACAGGCCCGCTGGACGCCTGCCCCGTGACAGCCCAGGGGGGGTTTGGGGAGGGGTCTCAGGGACTCAGGGTGGTCTCAGGGATTTGGGGGGGGTCTCAGGGATTTGGGGGGGGTCTCAGGGATGTTTCTGGGGGCTCTCACCTGGATGATCTGGGTGACAGGCCCGCTGGACGCCTGCCCCGTGACAGCCGAGCTCTGCACCGGCTTCGTCTGCACCACCGACATCACCTTGCCCAGGTTGGAGATCTGGGTGGGGGGGTCCCAGGGGGGGTCTAAGGGTCAGTGACTCGCCCAGGACCCCCCCTCCCCCTAAACCCTCTGAGTTTAGAGGCCACAGGACCCCCAGGACCCCCAAATCTGGGGCACTCCAGGGTTTTAGGAACTCCTAAAATACCTGAGCCCCCAGTTTCCCACAGCCCCAGTGTCCCCCCAGGACCCCCAACTCCCCCAGTCCTGTGTCCCCACAATCCTGGTGCCCCCCAGGACCCCCCAAACCCAGTTTCCCGTGATCCTGGTGCCCCCAAATCCAGTTTCTCACACCTCAAACCCCCCCAATCCTGTGTCCCCATGATCCTGGTGCCCCCAAACCCAGTTTCCCACACCCCCAGGACCCCCCCAAACCCAGTTTCCCACAGCCCCAGACCCAGTTTCCCATGATCCTGGTGCCCCCAAACCCAGTTTCCCACTCCCAGATCCCCTCAAACTCTGTTTCCCATGATCCTAGTGCCTCCAAACCCAGTTTCCCACACCCACAGACCCCCCAAATCCAGTTTCCCATGATCCTGGTGCCCCCAAACCCAGTTTCCCACCCCTCCCAAACTCCCAAACCGAGTTTCCCACACCCCCAGACCCAGTTTCCCGTGATCCTAGTGCCCCCAAACCCTGTTTTCCACACCCCCAGTGTCCCCCCAGGACCCCCAACTCCCCCAGTCCTGTGTCCCCACAATCCTGCTGCCCCCCAGGACCTCCCCAAACCCAGTTTCCCACACCGCCAGACCCCCCCAAACCCACTTTCCCACACCCCAGACCCTCCCAAACCCAGTTTCCTACATCCCCAGGCCCTCCCAAACCCAGTTGACCCCCTCAAATCCACTTTCCCACACCCTAGACCATCCCAAACCCACTTTCCCACGCTCCCAGGACCCCCCAAACCCAGTTTCCCACACCCCAGACCCTCCCAAACCCAGTTGATCCCCTCAAACCCAGTTTCCCACACCCCAGACCATCCCAAACCCATTTCCCAACCCCCAAACCCACTTTCCCACGCTCCCAGGACCCCCCAAACCCACTTTCCTGCACCCCCAGACCCCCCAAACTCACTTTCCCACCCACCAAACCCCCTTTCCCACACCCCAAGCCCCCAAAGCCCCCCAAAACCCTTTTCCCCCCGTACCAGGGCGCTGCCCCCCGGGACGGAGATGGGGCTCTTGACCAGGGTGATGGTCTTGGTGACGCCGCCCACGACGGTGGTGACGACCTGAGCCTGCTGCGCCACGGTGACGGTGCCGGATTTGTGCACGGTGATGATGGGCCGCGTGGCCGCGTTGCTGGCGGGGGTCCCGCCCCCCGCCGTGCCCACCTGGGCCGCCGCCGTCTTCAGCATCCGCGTGGCCGGGTTACTCACCTGGGGGGGGACAGAAAGGTGCTCTGAGACCACCAGGACACAGCAGGGAGGCCAGGGGGATGCCACGGGAGACCCCCAGGGATGTCATGGCCCCCTGAGACCACCAGGACACACCCTGGGGCTCTGAGACCACCAGGACACACCATGGACCCTGAGACCACCAGGACATGCCCTGGGCTCCAAGACCACCAGGGAGGCCACAGGGATGCCATGAGAGACCCCCCCCAGTGATGTCATGGCCCCCTGAGACCACCAGGACACACCCTGGGGCTCTGAGACCACCAGGACATACCCTGGACCCTGAGACCACCTGGACACACCCTGGGCTCTGAGACCACCAGGACACACCATGGACCCTGAGACCACCAGGACACACCCTGGGCCCTGAGACCACCAGGACAATACCCTGGGGTTTTAAGACCACCAGGACACACCCTGGAGCTCTAAGACCACCAGGACACACCCTGGGGCTCTGAGACCACCAGGACATACCCTGGGATTCTGAGACCTCCAGGACACACCATGGACCCTGAAACCACCAGGACACACCATGGACCCTGAGACCACCAGGACATACCCTGGGCTCTGAGACCACCAGGACACACCAGGGAGGCCACGGGGATGCCACGAGAGACCCCCAGGGATGTCATGGCCCCCTGAGACCACCAGGACACACCCTGGGCTCTGAGACCACCAGGACACACCATGGGTGTCCTGAGACCACCAGGACACACCATGGGTCTCCTGAGACCACCAGGACACACCAGGGAGGCCACAGGGATGCCACGAGAGACCCCCAGGGATGTCATGGCCCCCTGAGACCACCAGGACACACCATGGTCCCCTGAGACCACCAGGACACACCATGGACCCTGAGGCCACCAGGACACACTCTGGGTCCCCTGAGACCACCAGGACACACCCTGGGCCCCCTGAGACCACCAGGGAGGCCACGGGGACATCATGAGACACCCAGAACACACCACAGGCCCCGAGACCACCAGGACACACCATGGTCCCCCTGAGCCCCAAGTGACACCAAGGTGACAACGACCCCATGGTGCCACCCTCAGCCCCCCAGTGACACCACGGTGACAACGACCCCATGGTGCCCCCCCAATCCCTCCTGAGCCCCAAGTGACACCACGGTGATAATGGCATTGGGGTGCCACCCCAAGCCCCCAAACCATGGTGACAATGATCCTGCAGTGCCACCCCCAGCCCCCTGAGCCCCAAGTGACACCACGGTGACAACGACCCCCTGGTGCCACCCCAAGCCCCCAAACCATGGTGACAACGACCCTGCAGTGCCACCCCAATCCCCCCTGAGCCCCAAATGACACCCAGTGACAATGACCCCCTGGTGCCATCCCAGCCCCCAAACCATGGTGACAATGACCCCTCAGTGCCACCCCCAGCCCCCCAGTGACACCACGGTGACAATGACCCCTGCAGTGCCACCCCAATCCCCCCCGAGCCCCAAGTGACACCACGGTGACAGTGACACTGGGGTGCCACCCCAAGCCCCCAAACCACGGTGACAATGACCCTGCAGTGCCACCCCAAGCCCCCAAATCACGGTGACAATGACCCCACAGTGCCACCCCAAGCCCCCAAACCATGGTGACAATGACCCTGCAGTGCCACCCCAAGCCCCTAAATCACGGTGACAATGACCCTGCAGTGCCACCCCAAGCCCCCCTGAGCCCCAAGTGACACCACGGTGACAATGACCCAGCAGTGCCACCCCAAGCCCCCAAATCACGGTGACAATGACCCCTCAGTGACACCCCAAGCCCTCCTGAACCCCAAGTGACACCACGGTGACAACGACCCCGCACTGCCCCCCCACGTACCATGACGGGTGACGAGGCCACCTTGACGGTGGCGGGCAGGGTGGTGGTCCCGGGGGTCACGGCCACCGTCTTGACGATGGTGGCCCCCGCGGGGACGCTGAGCACGGTGGGCGCCGACGCCGGCGGGATCTTCTGCGTGGCGGCCGCGGCGGCGGCCAGGGCGGCCATGCCGCTCATCTGGGGGCTGCTGCCGATCACCTGGGGGGGTGGGGGGCACAGTCACACCTGGGGAGCACCTGGGGCACACCTGGGACCCCCATGTCACACCTGGGGAGCACCTGGGGCACTCCTGGGGTGCACCTGGGACCCCCATGTCACACCCAGGGCACACCTGGGGCCCCCATGTCACACCCAGGGCATACCTGGGGTTCACCTGGGACCCCCATGTCACACCTGGGACCCTCATGTCACACCCAGAGCACACCTGGGACCCCCATGTCACACCTGGGACCCCCATGTCACACCTGGGACCCCTGTGTCACCCCTGGGATGCACCTGAGACCCCCCCAGTCATACCTGGGACACACCTAGGGTACACCTGGGACCCCTGGGGCACACCTGTGTCACACCTGGGGCACAGTTGGGACCCCCGTGTCACACCCAGGGCACACCTGGGACCCCCATGTCACACCTGGGGCACACGCAGGGCACCAGGGACCCCTCCCAGTCATACCTGGGGCACACCTGGGACCCCTGTGTCACACCTGAGGCACACCTGGGGCACCAGGGACACACCAGGGACCACCCCCATGTCACACCTGGGATCCCTGTGTCACACCTAGGGCACCTGGGACCACCCCAGTTACACATCACACCTGTGTCACACTCCTACCCCCCCCTCACCACGTCACATCTGTGTCCCCCCCATGTCCCTCCAGTGTCCCCAATTCCCCTCCATGTCTTGCCCATGTCCCCCCAGGGTCCCCAACACGCCCCACCCTGCCTGTCCCCCCCATGTCTCACCGTGCCCTGGGGGCTCTGGGTGGGCACCACCATGGTGACACCCACAGGGATGGATGTCACTGTCCCCATGTCCCCAGTACCCCCCTCATGTCCCCCCCGTGTCTCACCGTGCCCCGGGGGCTCTGGGTGGGCACCACCATGGGGACCCCCGTGTGGATGGATGTCACGTCTGTCACCCGTGTCCCCAATACCCCCCCTGTCCCGTCTCCCGTGTCTCACCGTGCCCTGGGGGCTCTGGGTGGGCACCACCATGGTGACACCCACAGGGATAGATGTCACTGTCCCCATGTCCCCAATAGCCCCCCATGTCCCCAATATCCCCCCATGTCCCCCCCGTGTCTCACCGTGCCCCGGGGGCTCTGGGTGGGCACCACTATGGGGACCCCCGTGGGGATGGATGTCACTGTCCCCATGTCCCCAATACCCCCGTGTCCCCCCTATGTCCCCCCGTGTTCTAACACCGTGCCCTGGGGGCTCTGGGTGGCACCACCATGGGGACCCCTGGGATGGATGTCACTGTCCCCATGTCCCCCTAATAGCCCCCATGTCCCCCTTCTATGCTCCCCCCATGTCCCCCCATGTCTCTCACCGTGCCCTGGGGGCTCTGGGTGGGCACCACCATGCGTACCCCCGCGGGCAGGGACGTCACCGTCACCGGGGCCTTGCCGGGCCCCGCCGAGCGCACGGTGACCAGGGGGGGCCCCGCGGCCGCGAGGGGGTCCTCTGCCACCTTCAGCACCGCCGGGACCCCTGGGGGGGACACAAGGGGGGTCAGAGCAGGGATGGGGATCAGGGGGACCCCCACGGCCTCCTGTGACCCCCCTGAGCCACCCCCTGTGTGCCTCTGTCTACCACAGACCCCACCCCCCATGTCCCCTCAATCCCCAATCCCTTATAGCCTCCCACCCTCCACGTCCCTCAATCCCCCCAATCCCTTAGAGATCCCCATCCTCCATGTCCCCTCAATCCCCCCAATTCCTTATAGCCTCCCACCCTCCACGCCCCCTCAATCCCCCCATAATCCCTTAGAGCCCCTCTACATTCCCTCAATACCCCATAATCCCTTAGAGACCCCCCACCCCCATGTCCCCTCAATCCCCCCAACTCTTTAGAGCCCCCACATCCCCTCAATCTCCCCATAATCCCTTAGAGACCCCCACCCCTTGTCCCCTCAATCCCCCCAATCCCTTAGAGACCCCCATCCCCATAATCCTCGTAGCCCCACCACCACCAGCCCCCACATACCCCTCAATCCCTCATATCCTTCCCACCCCTCTATGACCCCAACCCCGCCACATCCCCTAATGCCCCCATCCTCACAGCCCCCAATCCTCAAATACCTCCCAACCCTTCCACATCCCATCAATCCTCCCCATGTCCCTCCAATCCCCCACATCCCCCCCACAACCCCCTGCCCCCTCAATCCCCTGCCATGTCCCCTCATCCCCTCCCACATCCTCCCATGTCCCCCCCAATCCCCCTGTCCCCACAACCCCCGTGTCTCCCACACCCCCCAAACCCCTCTACATCCCCAATCCCCCATCTTCCCCCAGCTCACCGGGTGCCGCGCAGCCCCGGCCGTGCCGGGTGGTCCCGGGGGTCCCGACGGGCAGCACCTGCAGGGTGGTGCTGGGGCGGCCGCAGCCCCGCAGCCCCTGCGGCCGCCCCGCTGCCTCCCTGCCCCCGCAGCCGCAGCCAGGGGCGCTGAGGGTTCTGAGGGCAGCGGGCGGGGGGCGGCGGCTAGCAGTGCAGCCGCACGGGGCGGGGGCAGCGCGGGCGCGGGCGGCGGGCGGGGGCGGCGGGCGCGGGGCTCTTGGGGGGTTGGCGGCACGGAGGGCACGGGGGCGGGCGCGGGGCGGCGGGCAGCTCGTACTTCTGGAGCTGCAGCAGGTACGAGTCGGCTGTGGGCACCGCGCCCCAGCTCACCTCCAGCGACGTGGTGTTGGCACGCACCAGCTGCACCCTGCCCGGGGCCGGGGGGCGCTCTGGAGGGGGAGAAAATGGGGAGGGGGTCACATAGAGAACATATCCTAAACCTTCACTCTGACCTGCACCAGCTGCACCCTGCCCGGGGCCCGGGGGCGCTCTGGGGGGGGAAATGGGGAGGGGGTCACATAAAGAACACATCCTGACCCTTATCCTAACCCCACACCCTGACCTGCACCAGCTGCACCCTGCCCGGGGCCGGGGGGCGCTCTGGGGGGGCAAAGATTGGGGGGGTTAACACACACAACACACCCTGACCATGACCTGCACCAGCTGCACCCTGCCCGGGGCCGGGGGGCGCTCTGGGGGGGGGAAATGGGGAGGGGTCACACACAGAACACACCCAAAACCCTCACCCTGACCTGCACCAACTGCACCTGCCCCAGGGCCAAGGGGTGCGCTGGGGGGCGGGAGGGAAATTGGAGGGGAGGGTGACAGACAAAACACACCCAGACCAGCTGCACCCACCCCGGGATCCCCAGACTCACCTGCCTGCAGGTCCACAGGTCCTTGCAGCACACCTGAGACCCCCAGCCCCGACACAGCCTCAGGACCCCCTGAAATCCCCCCAGACTCACCTGTCTGCAGGTCCCACAGGTCCTTGCAGCACACCCAGGACCCCCCCAAACCTCATCAAACCCCCTTGGACTCACCTGTCTCCAGGTACCACAGGTCTTTGCAGCACACCTGGAACCCCCCCTATGCTCAGGACCCCCCCAAACCTCATCAAACCCCCCAGACTCACCTGTCTCCAGGTACCAGAGGTCCTTGCAGCACACCTGGGACCCCCTATGCTCAGGCCCCCCCAAACCTCATCAAACCCCCCAGACTCACCTGTCTCAGGGTACCACAGGTCCTTGGCCTGAGAGCCACCAGCCTCAGGACCCCCTGGACTCACCTGTCTCCAGGTACCAGAGGTCCTTGCAGCACACCTGGGACTCCCCCTATGTTCAGGACCCCCCCAAACCTCATCAAACCCCCCAGACTCACCTGTCTCCAGGTACCACAGGTCCTTGCAGCACACCTGGGACCCCCCCTATGCTCAGGACCCTCCCAGACCCCCCCAAACCCCCCCAGACTCACCTGTCTCCAGGTACCACAGGTCCTTGCAGCACACCTGGTTGTTCCAGGCCTTCCTGTAGCCGTCCCTGCCGCTCCAGATGTAGAGGCGGGTGGCGATGGCCACGGCGCAGTGCCCGGCGCGGGCGCGGGGCACGTTGTCCTCCAGCGTCTCCAGCACCAGCGGCTCCCACGACATCGAGTCTGGCCGGGGCAGGGGGGGCACGGGCGGGTCACACCCCCCCACAGGCACCCACGCCACGGGGGGACCAGGGGAGGAGTGGGGGGTGGGGGGTTAGGGGGTTGGGGGGTTTAGAGAGGGGTTTGTGGGGCTTCGTAGAAAAGGTTAAGGGGGTCATAGAAAGGTTTGGGGTGTTTAGGAGGGGTTTGAGGGGAGCTCTAGAGTGAGGGTTGGGGGCTCTAGAGTGGGATTTGGGGGCTCATAGAAGGGTTTGAGGGGCTCTCAGTGGGGTTTGGGGGGCTCACAGAAGGGTTTGAGGGGCTCTCAGGGGGAGTTGGGGGGCTCTACGTGGGGTTTAGGGGGCTCATAGAAGGGTTTGGGGGCTCACAGAAGGGTTTAGGGGGCTCTCAGTGGGGCTTGGGGTGTTTAGGGAGGGGTTTGAGGGCTCTTGGTGGGGGTTCCCAGGTCAGTCTGGGTGGGTTTGGGGATCCCAGGTCAGTCTGGGGATTTGGGGGATCTCCAGGACAGTCTGGGGGGAACTGGGGATCTCAAATCAGTCTGGGGCGGGGTTGGGGATCCCAGGTCAGTCTAGGGGGAAGGTTGGGGTTCTCAGGTCAGTCTGGGGGGGGTTTGGGGGTCCCAGGTCAGCCTGGGGGTGTTTTTGGGGTTGCAGCCCCCTCACCCAGGTTCAGGCAGGCCAAGGTGTTGGTGCATTTCCACTCCTTCTCGTGCGTCGCCACCTTCACGTCGTCCATGACCAGGGGCACCCACCCCCCAAACACGTACATCCTGGGGGGCACAGGGGTCAGGGGGGGTCACAGGGGTCAGGGGGACCCCCAGACACACCCACCCCCAAACACGGACATCCTGGGGGGCACAGGGGTCACAGGGGTCAGGGGAGGTCACAGAGACCCCCAGACACACCCACTCCCCAAACACAGACATTCTGGGGGCACAGGGGTCACAGGGGTCAGGGGGACCCCCAGACACACCTACCCCCCAAACACGTACATCCTGGGGGTCAGGGGGGCCACAGGGGTCAGGGGGGGTCACAGGGGTCAGGGGGCACCCAGACACACCCACCCCCCAAACACGGACATCCTGGGGGGCACAGGGGTCACAGAGGTCAGGGGCGCTCACCACGGGTCACGGGGGTCACAGGAGTCAGAGGGGTCACAGGGTTACCCACGGGCACACCCACTCCCCAAACACGGACATCCTGGGGGTACAGGGGTCAGGGGGGCACCCAGGGACACCCACCCCCCAAACACAGACATCCTTAGGGGGTGAGTCTAAACTGATTAAGAAATTAAAACAACCAGAAGTTCCCCCCTCCCAGGACTCCCCAAACTCCTCCTTCTGTGGTGACAGGGACACCCAGGGCCCTCCAGAACAAGGAGGGGGGTCAGGGGGGTGTTTTTTGGGGGGGGGGTCGCCCCCAGACTCACTTGTTGCCGATGGTGGTGGCCGAGTGGAGGCTGCGGGGCAGGGGGGCCACCCCGCTCAGGCTCGGCTTGTTCCACGTCAGCGTCTCTGGGGGACCCCAAAAACCACCCACAGCGTGAGAAACGGGCCACAAAACCACCCAAAAGGGGAAGAAACGGCCCCAAAACCACCCAAAACGTAAAGAAATGGCCTCTAAACTACACAAAATGTGAAGAAACGGTCCCAAAACCCTTCAAAATAAAAACAAATAACCCTGAAACCACTCAAAATGTGGAAGAAACAGCCCCAAAACCACCCAAAACGGGAAGAAACGGCCTCAAAACTACACAAAATGTGAAGAAAACGGTCCCAAAACCACCCAAAACGGGAATGGGACCAAAACCACCAAAAATGTGAAAAACGGCCCCAAAATCACCCAAAATGGGCAGAAATGGGACCAAAACCATCCAAAATGGGAAAAAACGGCCCCGAAACCACCCAGAGTAAAAAGAAACAGCCTCAAAACAATACAAGAGGCAAATACACGGCCCCAAAATCATCCGAAGTGGGAGGAAACAGACCCCCAACCCACCTAATAAAATGTGAAAAATCAGCTCAAAATCATGAGGAAAAAGCCCCAAAAACACCCAAAATGTGCTCATCCCTCTCCGTGTACCCCACGGACCCCCCTGAGCCCACCCAGTGTCCCTGAGTGCCCCCAAACCCCTGAGCCCCCCAAAGCCCCCCGTACCGATGTCAGGGGTCCACAGGTCCCCCACCTGCAGCCGCTCACGCCCCTGTAGATAACGAGGTGGGACTCCCGCACCCCCCTCTCCGTGTACACCACGAACCCCTCTTGAGCCCCAAGCCCCCAAAGCCCTTCTGACCCCCCAGACCCCAAGCCCCGTACCGATGTCAGGGGTCCACAGGTTCCCCACCTGCAGCCGCTCATGACCCCATAGATGGTGGGACTCCGCGGTTCCCCCAATTCCCCTGGCACCCCTAAACTCCCCCTGAGCCCCCTCAGTGTCCCTGACCCCCAAAGCCCCCCCAAGACCCCCATACCAATGTCGAGGGTCCACAGCTCCCCCACCTGCAGCCCCTCACAGCCCCGTAGATGACGAGGCGGTATCTCCTCCCATCCCTCTCCGTGTACACCACGGATGACCCCCAGAGCCCTCAAAGCCCTTCTGACCCCCAGACCCCAAAGCCCCCGTACCGATGTCGAGGGTCCACAGGTCCCACAGCCTGCCCCGTAGACGCTCATGCCCCGTAGATGACGAGGTGGGATCTCCTGCCACCCCTCTCCATTACCCCACGAACCCCCCTGAGACCCCCCAGTGTCCCTGAGACCCCCCAGTGTCCCTGAGACCCCAAAGACCCCCATACCGATGTCGAGGGTCCACAGGTCTCCAGCCTGCAGCCGCTCATGCCCCCGTAGATGACGAGGCGGGATCTCCGGCCGTCCCTCTCCGTGTACACCATGGACCCCCCTGAGCCCCCCCAGTGTCCCTGAGCCCCCCCAGTGTCCCTGAGACCCCAAAGACCCCCGTACCAATGTCGAGGGTCCACAGGTCTCCCAGCCTGCAGCCGCTCATGCCCCCGTAGATGACGAGGCGGGATCTCCGGCCGTCCCTCTCCGTGTACACCACGGCCGTGTGGGACTCGCGGGGCGGGGGCAGGACCCCGTAGGTGATGGGGATGTCCCAGGCCAGGACCCCCGAGCCCGGGCGCAGCTCCAGCACGTACAGGTCGTTCAGGTACCTGGGGGAGGGGGGAGGAGACCCCCAAAAAGGGGGTTAGGGGGTTGGAGGGGGGGTGTCCCTGTTGCCTTCAGCCTGGGGGACATGGAGGGGGTCTGGGACACCCCAAAATACAGCTGGGATGGTCCCAATGTCACCTGTGTCACCCCAAAAGAACAGGGTCATCTGTGATCCCCCCCCCAAAGCACTCAAGGGTCCCTGGGACACCCCAAAATACAGCTGGGATGACCCCAATGTCACCTGTGTCACCCCAAAAGAACAGGGTCACCTGTGCCCCCTCCCCAAAGCACCCTGGGACACCCCAAAATACACCTGGGATGACCCCAATGTCACCTGTGTCACCCCAAAAGAACAGGGTCACCTATGCCCCCTCCCCAAAGCACCCTGGGATCCCTGGGACACCCCAAAATACACCTGGGATGGCCCCAGAGTCACCTGTGCCCTCTCCCTCAAAAGAACAGAGTCACTCATGCCTTCATCAAGCACCCAGGGGTCCCTGGGACACCCCAAAATACAGTTGGGATGTCCCCACTGTCACCTGTGCCACTCACCCAAACCAACAAGGTGACACCTGTGTCCCCTCCCCAAACAACAGGGTCCCAGTGCCCCCCATCCCAATCCCCAAGGTGTTTGGGGTGTCCCCCCTGGCTCCCCAGTTTTTGGGGTGCCCCTTACTGAGGGATGTTGTGTTTTGGGGTCCTCACTGTCATCTGACCAGCCCCCCAAACAGGGTCCCTGATCATTGGGGTGCCCCTGTGCCCCCCTCCTCAATCCTGAGGATTTTGGGGTCCCTCACACCCATTCCCAAGGTGTTTGGGGTGTTCCCCGTGGCTCCCCAGTTTTTGGGGTGCCCCTCACTGGTGGATGTTGTTTTTGGGGTCCTCGCTGTCACCTGTCTCAGTGCCCCCCAGTCCCAATCCCCAAGGTGTTTGGAGTGCCCCCCCAGTTTTCGGGGTGCCCCTTACCGGGGGATGTTGTTTTTGGGGTCCTCACTATCATCTCTCAGCCCCCAAACAGGGATCCCAATGCCCCCCTCCCCAATTCCCAGGGTTTTGGGGTGCCCCTTACCGGGGGATGTTGTTTTTGGGGTCCTCGCTGTCGTTGGCCAGCCCCCCGAACAGGTAGCACTTGTTGCCCACCAGGGAGAAGCTGTGGCCCAGGCGGGGGCAGGGGGGGGGCCCATTTTTGGGGGTCTTCGCCTTCAGTCGCTTCCACTCCCACCGGCTGGCCTGGAATGGGGGGGGGGGAGAAACAACTGGCATTGGGGGGGTGGACAATCCTGGATTGGGGTGAGGGATCCAGGGGATCTGGGGGATCCCAGCATGGGGGGGAACCCCAATATTGGGGGGACCCCGGGGTCCATAAGGATGGGGGATCCCAACACTGGGGGGATCCAGGGGGTCCTATGGGATGGGGGACCCCAGCACTGGGGGGATCCAGGGGTCTTGGGTGGGGGGACCCAGGGGTCCTGGGAATGGGGGATCCCAGTACTGGGGGGGATTCAGGAGTCCTGAGAGATCCAGGAGTCTCAAGTGGGGGCACCTCAGGGGTCCTGGAGTGATGGGGGACCCCCAGCATGGGGGGGGACACTTTAGTATTGGGAGGACCCCAGAACTGGGAGGGATCCAGGGAGTCCTCTGGGATGAGGGATCCCAGTAATGGGGGGATCCAGGGGTACTGAGGGGGTTCAGGGGGGTTGGGGAGGTCACCCAGGGTTTGGGGGGATCCAGGTGGTGTTGGGGAAGACACCCAGGGTTTGGGGGGGCTCAGGAGGGTTTCTTGGGCTCACACAGGGTTTGGGGGGGCTCAGGGGGTTTGGAGGGGGTCACCCGGGGGGGTGGGGATTCAGGGAGGTTCGAGGGGCTTGGGGGGTCAAGGGGACACCCAGAGTTCGTGGGAGGACCCAGGGATTTGAGGGGCTCACCCAGGGTTTGGGGGGGTCAGGGGGGACACCCAGAGTTCAGGGGAGGACCCAGGAGTTCAGGGGTCACCCAGAGTTTTGGGGGAAGACCCAGGGGTTGGGGGGGGGGGTCACCCAAGGTTTGGGGAGGTTCAGGGGGGTACCTGTAGCTCGTAGAGGTCGTTGCTGTACTTGCCGTACTCCACCATCCCCCCAAAAACCAGGAGCCGGGTCCCGTCACACACGAAGCCGTAGGCGGCACAGCCGGGGGGGATGTCCCCCCTCACCGCGGGGATGAACCACTGGTTGGTGGCTGGGGGGACAAAGAGGGGTGTCAGTGATGGGGGGCACAGGGAATGTCCCCCCTTACCGCGGGGATGAACCACTGGTTGGTGGCTGGGGGGGCAAAAAGGGGTGTCAGTGATGGGGGGGCACAGGGAATGTCCCCCCTCACCGCGGGGATGAACCACTGGTTGGTGGCTGGGGGAAAAAAGAGGGGACAAAGAGGGGTATCATTGATAGGGGGGCACAGGGAATGTCCCCCCTCACCGCGGGGATGAACCACTGGTTGGTGGCTGGGGGGGCAAAAAGGGGTGTCAGTGATGGGGGGGCACAGGGAATGTCCCCCCTCACCGCGGGGATGAACCACTGGTTGGTGGCTGGGGGGGCAAAGGGGGGACAAAGAGGGGTGTCAGTGATGGGGGGGGCACAGGGAATGTCCCCCTGAACTGCAGGGATGAACCACTGGTTGGTGGCTGGGGGGGCAAAGAGGGGATCAGTGACACACAGAATGTCCCCCCCTCATCATGGGGATGAACCACTGGTTGGTGGCTGGGGGGGCAAAGAGGGGGTCAGTGACACAGAGAATGTCCCCCCATCATCGTAGGGATGAACCACTGGTTGGTGGCTGTGGTGACAAAGAGGGGTGTCAGTGATGGGGGGGCACAGGGAATGTCCCCCCTCACCACGGGGATGAACCACTGGTTGGTGGCTGGGGGGGCACAAAAGGGGTCAGTGACACACAGAATGTCCCCCCTCGTGCTAGAATGAACCACTGGTTGGTGGCTGGGGGGGCAAAGGAGGCACAAAAGGGGTCAGTGACATGGGGGGGCACAGGGAATGTCCCCCTGAACTGCTGGAATGAACCACTGGTTGGTGGCTGGGGAGACAAAGGGGGTCAGCAAAAGAAAAACATGTAAACCCCCAGCCCCTGTACCCCCAGGAGCTCCCCCATGCCCCCAGTACCCCCAGTGCCACACACATTCAGCTTGTCCAGGATCCCCTTGTTTTGGGGACCCCACACCCCGATGTACCCACATAGGGTCCCACCGTGCCCCCCTTACCCACCCGTGTTGTAGATGTGCAGCTCGTCCACGATGCCCTCGTTGGGGGACCCCCACCCCCTGTGCCTCACACAGGATCCTCTATGACCCCCCACACCCCTGTGCCCCCCATTACCCACCCGTGTTGTAGACGTGCAGCTCGTCCACGATGCCCTCATAGGACACCCCACACACCCCATAGGGTCCCTCTATGACCCCCACACCTCCCGTTACCCCCCGTGTTGCAGGCGTGCAGCTCATCCACAACGTCCTCGTTGTGGGGACCCCACACCCCTGTGCCCCTGCAGACCCCCCGTTACCCACCCGTGTTGTAGATGTGCAGCTCGTCCACGATGCCCTCGTTGGGAGATCCCCACAACCTGTGTACCCCCATAGGGTCCCTCATGACCCCCCACCCCCTGTGCCCCCCCGCCATTACCCACCCGTGTAGTAGACGTGCAGCTCATCCACGATGCCTCATTGGGGATCCCCACCCCCTGTGCCCCTGCAGACCCCCATTACCCACCCGTGTTGTAGACGTGCAGCTCGTCCACGATGCCCTCGATGTGGGGACCCCCACACCCCTGTGCCCCTGCAGACCCCTCTGTTACCCACCCGTGTTGTAGACGTGCAGCTCGTCCACGATGCCCTCGTTGGGGGACCCCACACCCCCTGTAGGCCCCCCTCCATGCCCCCATTACCCACCCGTGTTGTAGACGTGCAGCTCGTCCACGATGCCCTCGCTGTGGGGACTCCCCACACCCCGTGTACCCCCTGCAGACCCCCTGTACCCCCGTACCCACCCGTGTTGTAGACGTGCAGCTGGTCCACGATGCCCTCGTTGTGGGGATCCCCCACACCCCTGTGCCCCCTGTAGACCACCCTGTGCCCCCATTGCCCACCCATGTTGTAGACGTGCAGCTCGTCCACGATGCCCTCGTTGTGGGGATCCCACACCCCTGTGCCCTGTAGACCCCCCTGTGCCCCCTCCGTTACCCACCCGTGTTGTAGACGTGCAGCTCGTCCACGATGCCCTCGTTGCCGCCCCCGAAGACCACGATGAGCTCCTTGATGGCCACGGCCCTGTGCCCGTGGCGGGGCCTGGGCACCGGCCCGGCCCAGCCCACCACCCGCTTCCAGCGCGGCTGCAGCGCGGGGGCCGGGGAGCCCGCGGAGGACCCCCCGCCCAGGCCTGCCATGCGCCCCGCTGCCTGTCCTGGGGGGAAAACAGGGGGTCAGGGCACCCCAAAACCCCTTTGGGACACTGAGACCCCCAAAACCCCCCTAATGACACTGAGACCCCCTTGTGACACTGAGACCCCCCCGCTGCCTGTCCTGGGGGGTAGAACAGGGGATCAGGGTACCCCAAAACCCCCCTAATGACACTGAGACCCCCCTGTGACACTGAGACCCCCCCTGCTGCCTGTCCTGGGGGGAAAAACAGGGGGTCAGGGCAGCCAGAAACACCCTGATGACACTGAGACCCCCCCGCTGCCTGTCCTGGGGGGAAAAACAGGGGGTCAGGGCACCCCAAAACCCCCCTAATGACATTGAGACCCCCAAATTCCCCTGTGACACTGAGACCCCCCCGCTGCCTGTCCTGGGGGGAAAAACAGGGGGGTCAGGGTACCCCAAAACCCCTCTGGGACACTGAGACCCCCAAACCCCCCTGTGACACTGAGACCCCCCCGCTGCCTGTCCTGGGGGAAAAACAGGGGACCAGGGCACCCCAAAACCCCCCTAATGACACTGAGATCCCCCCCACTGCCTGTCCTGGGGGGGGCAACACAGGGGGGCCAGGGCACCCCAAAACACCCTTAATGACCCTGAGACCCCCTTGTGACACTGAGACCCCCCCTGCTGCCTGTCCTGAGGGGAAAAACAGGGGGGTCAGGGCACCCCAAAACCCCCCTAAGGACACTGAGATCCCCCCCACTGCCTGTCCTGGGGGGAAAAACAGGGGGTCAGGGCACCCCAAAACCCCCCTAAGGACACTGAGACCCCCAAACCCCCCTAATGTCACTGAGATCCCTCCCGCTGCCTGTCCTGGGGGGAAAACAGGGGGTCAGGGTACCCCAAAAACCCTCTAATGACACTGAGACCCCCTTGTGACACTGAGACCCCCCTGCTGCCTGTCCTGGGGGGGCAGAACAGGGGGTCAGGGCACCCCAAAACCCCTCTGGGACACTGAGACCCCCAAATTCCCCTGGGACACTGAGACCCCCCTGCTGCCTGTCCTGGGGGGAAAAACAGGGGGTCAGGGCAGCCAGAAACCCTCTGATGACACTGAGACCCCCAAACCCCCCTAATGACACTGAGACCCCCTTGTGACACTGAGACCCCCCCGCTGCCTGTCCTGGGGGGGGGGCAAAACAGGGGGTCAGGGCACCCCAAAACCCCCCTAATGACACTGAGACCCCCCCCCCACTGCCTGTCCTGGGGGAAAAACGGGGGTCAGAGCACCCCAAAACCCCCCTAAGGACACTGAGACCCCCTTGTGACACTGAGACCCCCCCGCTGCCTGTCCTGGGGGGGCAGAACAGGGGGGTCACGGCACCCCAAAACCCCTCTGGGACACTGAGACCCCCCCGCTGCCTGTCCTGGGGGGAAAACAGGGGGTCAGGGTACCCCAAAACCCCCCTAATGACACTGAGAGCCCCCTGCTGCCTGTCCTGGGAGGAAAAACAGGGGGGTCAGAGCACCCCAAAACCCCTCTGGAACACTGAGACCCCCCTGTGACACTGAGACCCCCCCACTGCCTGTCCTGGGGGGAAAAACAGGGGGTCAGAGCACCCCAAAACCCCTCTAATGACACTGAGAACCCCCCACTGCCTGTCCTGGGGGGGGGGGTAGAACAGGGGGGTCAGGGCACCCCAAAACCCCTCTGGGACACTGAGACCCCCCGCTGCCTGTCCTGGGGGGAAAACAGGGGGTCAGGGCACCCCAAAACCCCCTTAATGACATTGAGAACCCCCCCTGTGACACTGCGACACCCCCCCCCGCTGCCTGTCTTGGGGGTGCAAAACCGGGGGTTCAGGGCACACCAATACCCCTCTAATGACACTGAGACCCCCAAACCCCCCTGGGACACTGAGACCCCCCCTGCTGCCTGTCCTGGGGGGAAAAACAGGGGGTCAGGGCACCCCAAAACCCCCCTAATGACATTGAGACCCCCAAATTCCCCTGGGACACTGAGATCCCCCCCCCGTGACACTGAGACCCCCCCCACTGCCTGTCCTGGGGGGGCAGAACAGGGGGTCAGGGCACCCCAAAACCCCCCTAAGGACACTGAGACCCCCCTGCTGCCTGTCCTGGGGGGTAAAAACAGGGGGTCAGGGTACCCCAAAACCCTCTAATGACACTGAGACCCCCTTGTGACACTGAGAACCCCCTGCTGCCTGTCCTGGGGGAAAAACAGGGGGTCAGAGCACCCCAAAACCCCCCTAATGACACTGAGACCCCCCCACTGCCTGTCCTGGGGGGGCAGAACAGGGGGGTCAGGGCACCCCCAAACCCCTTCCACTGATACTGAGACCCCCAAACCCCCCCACTGCCTGTCCTGGGGGGGCAGAACAGGGGTTCAGGGCACCCCAAAACCCCCCTAATGACACTGAGACCCCCAAATTCCCCTGAGACACTGAGACCCCCTTGTGACACTGTGACCCCCCCCCGCTGCCTGTCCTGGGGGGGCAACACAGGGGGGTCAGGGCACACCAATACCCCTCTAATGACACTGAGAACCCCCCACTGCCTGTCCTGGGGGGGTAACAAGGTGGGGGTGGTCAGGGCACCTCCAAACCCCTCTGGGACACTGAGACCCCCCCTGCTGCCTGTCCTGGGGGGGCAACACGGGGGGGTCAGGGCACCCCAAAACCCCCCTAATGACACTGAGACCTCCCTGTGACACTGAGACCCCCCTGCTGCCTGTCCGGGGGGGGTAACACAGGGGGGGTCAGGGCACTCCAAAACCTCCTGTGACACTAAGACCCCCAAATTCCCCTGGGACACTGAGACCCCCAAACCCCTCCCATTGACACTAAGACCCCCCTGTGACACTGAGACCCCCCTGCTGCCTGTCCTGGGGGGGTAGAACAGGGGGTCAGGGCAGCCAGAAACCCCCTGAAGACACTGAGACCCCCAAACCCACCCGGGACACTGAGACACCCCCCCACTGCCTGTCCTGGGGGGGGTAAAAACAAGGGGGTCAGGGCACCCCAAAACCCCTCTGGGACACTGAGAAACCCCCCAGTGCCTGTCCGGGGGGGGTAACAAGGGAGGGTCACGGCACCTCCAAAACCTCCTGTGATACTGAGACCCCCCAAATTCCCCTGGGACACTGAGACCCCCAAACCCCTCCCATTGACACTGAGACCCCCCCTGTGACACTGAGACCCCCCCGCTGCCTGTCCTGAGGGGGCAGAACAGGGGGGTCAGTGCACCCCAAATTCCTCTGGGACACTGAGACCCCCAACCCCCCCAACTGCCTGTCCTGGGGAGTCAAAACAGGGGGGTCAGGGCACCCCCAAACCCCTCCCATTAAGACTGACCTCCCTCATACCTGCGCAGATGGGGAGGGGGAATTGAGGGGGGGTTTGGGGCATGGGAGGCACCCCCCCAATTTTTGCCGCCTCCCCTTCGAGGTTCATCTCACCCCCCCACACTAATTACCTCCTTATAATTAGCACCCTAAAAAGTACAATTAACTGTCCCTCCTAATGCCCTCCCCCACCCCAACAACTGCCCCTCCACTGAGGTTCATCTTCACCTTTCCCCAAAATTCCACCCCCCAGGCTGTGTGCCCCTCCCCACCACTAATTACCCCATCATAATTGCCCCCATGGGGGCACAATTGACTGCCCCCCTCGTGTCCAACCCTCCCCCCAGAATAACGGACTCCATGGAGTTCATTCTCCCCCTAAAATTACCCCCCCAAACCACTCCCCTTTTATTGCTCCCCTGCATTAAAATTATTTGCCTTCCCCCCGGAACTTCTCCCCCTCCCCAATAACTGTCTCCCCATTACACAATTAATTACCCTCCGAGGATTCATCTGCCCCTCCCCCCAAATTAACTGCCCCCAGGGGGCTTCAGCTCCTCCCTCCCCTCAAAACTGGCCCCCCAGACTGTGCTGCTTTCCCCACTAACTTTCCCCTATAATACAACTAATTATCTCCCATATGCAATTAACTGCCCCCAATGAACAATTAATTGCCCCCTCCCGTTTCATCTCCCCTCAATCCCCCCTCAGCCCATACCCCATAATTCTCCCACCATTATTGCCCACCGTTGTACAATTAATTACCCCCCGGGGTACAATTAATTACCCCCTCAGGGTTCATCTCCCCCTCCCCAAACAACTGCCCCTAATGGGCGTCACTCCCCACAAAAAAACTGCCCCCCTCAGGCTGCGCCCCTCCCCCACCGCTAACTACCCCCCATTATTAAGCCCCAGTGTACAAATTATTGCTCCCTACTGTGCAATTAACTGCTCTCTCAATGAACAATTAATTGCCCCTCAGGTTCACTCTCCCCCAACCCCCCTCAGCCCACGCCCCCATAACTGTCCCCCATTTTGCCTCATAATGTGCAACTAGTACTCCCCACGTACAATTAGTTGCCCCCTAATTAACAATTAATTGCCCCTCAGGTTCATCTCCCCCCACGCCCCCTCACCTGCGCCCCCGGCCCTGCCCCTCCCTCTCCTCCCCCTGCCCTGCGCGCCGCCATCTTGTCTCTGCCCGGGCGGAAAATGGCGGCCGCCGCCTCCCCCACCGCCTCCCCCGCTCACCGCGGCCCCTCGGCCGCCTCCCCTCCGGCCCCTCGGCCGCTCGCGGTTGGCGGCGGCCTCGAGGTTGTGTCGGGCGCTGGCGGGTCCCGGCGCGGGGCAGCGGCTGCGGGCGGAGCGCGGCAGCGGCAGGTCCCTCACGCCGCCCTGGGAGCCGCCATCTTGCGCCTGTGTCCGGCGGCCGCGGCGGGCTGGGCGGGGCCGGGCAAAGGGGGCGGGGGCAGCGCCGGACACGCCCCCTCCGCGCCCGGGCGGCGCCATCTTGGCGGGGGACGGAGGGCGACATTGTGGGGGGGGACAGGCACACAGGGAGGGGCGGCGGCGGTTTGAGGGGTCTCGGGGAGGGGTCTCAGTGATTTCTCAAAGGTACCGGGAACGATCCCGGGAGCGGCGGGGCCGGTGGGACCGGCGGGAGGAGCGGGGGATTGTACGGAGCAGCCATGAGGGGGCGCGGCCATGGCGCCAACGGAGGGGGCGTGCTCACGCCTCTTCCATAACCACGCCCCCTCCGGCCGCCTCTTAAAGGAGCCGCCCCCTCCTTCCCGCCGCTTCTCCCCGGAGCCCGCCAATGCCGCCATCTCTCAGTCCCGCCCCTCACGCCCGCCCCCACCCCCGCCATCGCTCCCCGCCGCCCCGGAGCCGCCTCCCCGCACACACCGAGTGCCCCGCGGCCTCGCTGCGGGCGGTGCGGGCTCTTCCCGCGGCGCGTTTGGCGCCGTACGGAGCGCTCAGCCCGCCATGGGCGCCGCCATCTTGGCGCGTCCCGCCCTCTCCCCGGCAACGCCCCCTCCTCCTCCCGCCGCTCCTCCCCGGGGCTTTCGGGAGGAAGGGGCGGCCGCAACCGCTGTGAAGCCTCACGGCTCCGCGGCCGCGAAAGGCGCGCACGGTTCGGGGAGTCCTGTGGGGAGTCTCAGGGGGTCCCGGCGCCGCCATCGCCCCCCGCCCCCCTCAGGACTCCCAAGATGGCGGCGCGCGGGCCCCGGATGTGGGCGCGGCCCCTCCCAGGATGGCGCCCCGGGGGTGGTGATGGGGGGAGAGGAATGGGGGGAAAGGACCCGGATGTCGCCATTGACACCCCGCGCGGCCCCTCCCAAGATGGCGCTGCCCGCGCTGCACAAGCGGCGCCCGCTGCCTCCTCCTGCCGCCCCCTCCGCGTTTCCCCAGAAACCCCAGAGCCCCCCGTCCCCTCCCGCCCTTACCGGGTGCGGCTCCGCTACCGCGGCGGCTCCAAGGCGGCGGAGCGGCCGGTGCCCGTGTGCGCGGGGGAGGGGTCACAAGATGGCGGCGCGCTGCTGTGGGAAAGGGGAGTCCAAGATGGCGCCGCCCGGTGCCCGGATCTTCCTCCGCCTCCTCCTCTTCCTCCTCCTCCTCGCCGCTCGCTCAAGATGGCGGCGCCTGCCCGGGGCGGGAGCGCAGCTGTAGGAGCCCCTCCGCGCCCCCCCGTTAACCTCGCCGGTCCCGCCGCCCTCCCCGCGCTCCCCTCCCGGGGCAGCCCCGATGGCGGCGCCCCCAAGATGGCGCGGGGCGGGAGAACCCGCGGCGGCCCCAAGATGGCGGCGGCCGCGGGACCCGGATGCGCCGCTCGCCCCGCGCCGCTCCGCCGCCGCCCCGCACCTCCAGCCGCCCGCCGCCCGCAACAGCGCGCGCGCCGCTCCGCGCCGCCGTCCGCCGCTCTCTCCGAGCCGCCGCCGCCGCGCTGAAAAGCCGAGAAGGGCCCGCCCGCCGCGCCGGCTACTGGCGCTTGGGAGCCGCCATTTTGGACGCGTCTCCTCCACCCGCCACAAAGATGGCGCCCGCCAGGCCCCGGATAGTGGCGCTCAACGGCCGCGGAGGGCACTGCGCAGGCGCGCACGCTTAGGGGTGGGCGGGGCAGCGCATGCGTCGCCCCGCCCCTTTCGCAGCGCGTGCGCTTTGCCCCCTCCCGCTCCTCACGGAGGATTTTGGGGGCAAAGACCCCAAATTGGAGATTTTTGACCCTCCCGGGACCCCAAAAACGCTGCTGGGGGAGGGAGGGGGGTGAAGGGACCCCTCAGGGCAGGGCCGAACTGGGGGTGGAGGGGTTTTGGGGAGGTTTGGGGGGGATTTGGAGGATTTTAGGGGATTTGAGGGGGATTTGGGTCTGCCCCCCCAAAACGCGGCCTCAGGTGTGAAACGTCCCCCCCCAGGTGTGACAATAAACGCTCCGGTGTGACAATGACCCTCCTAGAAGGGCCGGGGGGAGGGGCTGCTGGTTTTTGCGGAGGTCCCGTGACCCCTTTTTGGGGGTCTGTGAGGTCCCAGTGCCCATTTGGGGCATCCCAGTAGCCATTTGGGGGGCCCAGTTGGAATTTTGGGGTCCCGGTGTCCCCTCACCACCTTTTGGTGGTCCCTGTTGGGGGGAGGGTCCCACTGCAGCCCCCCCAAATCCCCCCCCGGGCCAGTTTTGGGGGTCCCGGGGGGTCCCAGGAGGCTCTTGGGGGTCCGTCAGAGGCTGTTTGGGAGCCCCTCCCCTTCCAGTTTTGGGGTCCATCCCCCCCATTTTGGGCTTCACCCCCCAATTTTGGGGTTCACTTCCCCCCTTTGGCATTTTGGGTTCCCCCAAGACCCCCGAGCCCCCAAACACCCCCATGGGGCCCCTCAGGAACCCCAAAGCCCCTTAGAGCCCCCCCGGGACCCCCAAAATCTCCACAGGGACCCCCAAACCATCCAGTGTCCCCTGCACCCAGACCTGCTGCCTCCCAGTCCATCCCAGTCCCTCCCAGTGCCATCCCAGTCCATCACAGCCTATCCCAGTCTGTCCCAGTGCCCTCCCAACCCATCCCACTCCTCTCCAGTCCAACCTGGTCACTCCCAGTGCCATCCCACTCCATTCCAGTCCCTCCCAGTGCCCTCCCAGTCCTCTCTAGTCCATCCCGGTCACTCCCATTCCATCCCAGTCCTTCCCAGTCCCTCCCAGTGACATCTCAGTCCTCTCCAGTCCATCCCAGTGCCCTCCCAGTCCTCTCCAGTCCATCCTGGTCACTCTCAGTCCTTCCTATTCCCTCCCAGTGCCATCCCAGTCTGTCCCAGTGCCCTCCCATTCGACCCCTCCATCCCGATGGAAGCCCCGCCCCTTTCCAGCCCCGCCCCCTCCTCCCAAACCACGCCCCCCGCTCCGAGGCGCCCCCTGGCGGCAGCGCCCCCCCCTCGCAGCGCGGCGGAAGCCCCGCCCACCCCCACGGTTACCGGGGCAACGGCCGCCATCTTGAGTGTGGCGGGACCGCCCCCGGGGGCGGGGGCCTGTGAAATGACGTCATTGCAACGATGACGTCATCATTCGGGCCATGACGTCACAGCTGTCAGGACACCCCCGGGAGGAGGGGAGGGGACACACCCGGGCCCCTGTGAGGTCACAAGAGAGGATCCAGTGACATCACCAGGGATCCAGTGATGTCATCACTGGGATCAATGACATCACCCTGGAGTCCCAGTGATGTCATCAGGTGATCCAGTGACGTCACCTGGGAATCCTGTGATGTTACCGGGGGGGATCTGGGATCCACAGGGCCCCCCCAAAATCCCCCCAACTTCTCCCCGGGGATATTTGGGACCCTCTGACACCGTGGGGGGTGGGGCGGGATCTGCTGGAGCCTCATGGGAAGATCCAGGACCCCCTGCCCGGGATCCAGTGACATCACACGGGGGAGGGGAGGGACTGGAGACCCCCAACCCTGACCCCCCCCACGGAGCCACCAGAGATCCACCCGGACCACGTGGTGGGATCTGGGACCCACTGGAGCCATGGGGGGCCCCACAGGGGTCTCGAGGCCAACCCAAAGAAGCATCAGAGGCCAAGGTGGGGCTGGGGGGGTCTCAGGAGCCCGGGGGGGTCTCAGGGCTGATGAAAGAGGTGGATCTGGGGGAATTCGGGGGGTCTGGGGGTCCCCAGGGGGGTCCTGGGGCCGAGGAAAGAGACGCAGGAGGCCGAGGTGGATCTGGGGGTTTTGGGGGTCCCCGGGGGGGTCCCAAGTGGGTCTGGGGGGATTTGGGGGTCCCCGGGGGGGTCCCGGGGCCAAGGAAAGAGGCTCGGGAGGCCGAGGTGGGTCTGGGGGATTTGGGGTCCCGGGGGTCCCAGGTGGGTCGGGGGGATTTGGGGGTCCCCGGGGCTGATGAAAGAGGCTCGGGAGGCCGAGGTGGGTCTGGGGAATTTGGGGGTCCCCAGGGGGTCCCAGGTGGGTCTGGGGGATTTGGGGTCCTTGAGGGGTCCCAGGGCTGATGAAAGAGGCTCGGGAGGCCGAGAGTGGGTCTGGGGGATTTGGGGTGGTCTGGGGGTCCCGGGGCGGTCCCGGGGCCGAGGAAAGAGTCTCGGGAGGCCGAGGTGGGTTACACAGATTTATAATCGCTGGATCACGCGCAGCAGCAGCAGCAGCAGCACAGACACAGACCCGGGGGGGCCGGGGGCGGCGCCGCGGGACCCCGAAACAACCGACACCGAGGGCTTCTCGGAACTTTATAAGGCAAAACGTCTCCGCGTGACTCGAGAGAATAAATAGGTGCAGGGGGTCCCCACCCCACCCCCTGCAGGGCCCCCGAGACCCTCCCCCACTCTGGGACAGGCCCCCACACACACACCGGGTTTGCTCTGTCCGGGCCGCCCCTCCCCGTTATTGCCATGAGGAGCCGGGGTGGGGAGGGCACCCCGAGGGGGTTGGAAGAACAGGGGGACACGGGGGGACCCCAGGAGTGACCCCTCCCCGGGCAGGTAAAGTGCAGGATGGGGACCCCTCCCTCCCCCTTGGGACGGGACACGTGGCTGGTGGGGGAGGGGTGGGCAGGGGGCAGGGATTGAGACCGGACCCCCCCACCCCAAACAAAGGGATCCCCCGCCTGTGCTTGCTCCTGATTGGCTGCAGACCAGATCCCGCCCCTGTAATCCTCACTCCTGATTGGCTGCAGACCAGATCCCTTCCCTGCCATCCTCACTCCTGATTGGCTGCAGACCAGATCCCTCCTCTGCAATTCTCATTTCTGATTGGCTGCAGACCAGATCCCTCCCCTGCAATCTTCAATCCTGATTGGCTCCAGATCAGATCCCTTCCCTGCCATCCTCACTCCTGATTGGTTCTGGAGCAGATCCCACCCCTGCAATGCTCAATCCTGATTGGCTCCAAACCCGACCCCTCCCCTGTCTGTGCTCACTCCTGATTGGCTCTGGACCAGATCTCTCCCACTCATGATTGGCTCCAAACCCGACCCCTCCCCTGTCTGTGCTCACTCCTGATTGGCTCTGGACCACATATCTCCCACTCATGATTGGCTCCACACCAGACCCCACCCACTCCTGCAGCCTGTCCCGATTGGCCGTGACCGGATCCCACCCAAGGCAGATCAACTCCCCACTGGATGGGGCTGGACCGGCCCCTCCAATCCGAAGCCACTCCCGATTGGATCGTGGCCGGATCCCACCTCGACCTGGAGTCGCTCCTGGGGCCGGATCCAACCCCGCCCCCACAGGATCCCGGCCCCGCCCCCAGCTCCTGATTGGACGGTGTCCAACCCCCTCTGATTCCTGACTGGTCCAGACTTGATCCCACCTCAATCCGGAGGGACCCGGCCTGGCCCCACCCCCATGTGCATCCCCCTCCCGATTGGTCGGGCACCGGATCCACCCCCGCCAGTGCCGCTCCCCATTGGCTGCAGACCTGGCCCCGCCCCTGTGCTGAGTCACTCCTGATTGGCCTGAGGCCTGGCCCCACCCCCCGAGCGCCGCTCCTGATTGGCTCAGGGCCGGATCCCAGCTGAACCCAAAGCTGCTCCTGATTGGCTGCCAAGCAGATCCCGCTCCAATGGAGACCCTCTGATTGGCCAAAGCCCAGGTCCCACCCCTTCTGATTGGCCCGAGAGCTGCTGCCTCCTGATTGGCTCCACACTGGATCCCAAACGAACCGAAAGCTGCTGATTGGCTCGAAATCAGAGCCCAACTCAACCGAGTCGCTCCTGATTGGCTCGAGACCGGATCCCGCCCCTCCTGATTGGCTCAGCGCTGGATCCCAGCCCAACTCAAAGCTGCCCCTGATTGGTTCTCAGACCGTACCCCGCCCCCGCCACGCCGCCCCTTCCTGATTGGCTCCACGCTGGATCCCCGCCGCTCCCGATTGGCCGCAGACTCGCTCGCTCCCGCCCCCTCAGCAGCGCCGCTCCCCATTGGACGGCGGCCGGATCCGGCCCCGCCCCTGCCGCCGCCCCTCCTTAGTGCAAATGGTTCCCACGGGCGGAAAACGCGGAACGGAACTGGAAGAACGAGAAAAGCGGCGCCGGGAGGGGGGGGAAGACGCGACCCCGACCCCCCGCCACCCCACACCCTCTGCCCGGCCTTGGGGGCCCGGATGAAACCCCCTTCAGAGACCAAAGTGCAAAGTGGGGGTCCCGCGGCCCTCGCTGTGCTTGTCGGTAATAAAAACTGGGGGGGTTGGGGCGGTTGGGAGTGGGCTGGGGGCTGCTCTGCCCTCGTGGGGGTGGGGGAGGGGCCGGGGGGCCCGTCCGTGCGTCCGTCGGTCCGTCTGTCCGTGCGGTGACGTCACAGTCAGCTGACCCGCTCGGGCACAGGCGTCCGCGTGTCGACGGGCTCGTCGCGGGCCGGGGGCAGCGGCACGGCCGCGCTGGGGGGCGGCGCCGACGAGGACGAGGAGGGCGAGGAAGAGGAAGAGGAGGAAGAGGAGGAGGACGAGGAGGAGGCAGAGTCTTTGTGCTCGGGCTCCCTCGGTGTTTGTAGGGCGCCGGGGGCGGCGGCGGCGGCGGGGGGCTGAGTCTTAGGGGCTCCTTGGCGCAGCCGTCGGGGCCGCGGGGCCCCCTCTGCTCCGCACACCCCGTCCCGCTCAAGTCCTGGGGGCGGCGGCGGGGGCGGCGCCGGGAGGCGGTGCTGGCGCTGTCCCTTGGGGGCTCGGGGCGGCGGCGGAGGGCGGCGGCGGCGTGGGCGGCGGCGCCGGGGGCCCCGCGGCCCTTGGGACTGCCCTCCTGCTGCGCCGGCCGGGGCTGCGGGCGCTGCGGGGACCCCGCGCCCCGGGGGGGGTCGGGGGGGGCCGCGCCGAAGCCGCCGCCGCGGCCGCCGCCGAAGCCGCCGCCGACTCCACCACCACCGTCTCCCTCGTCTTCCTCTTCTTGATGGGCAGCACCGTCTCCTGCACGGCGGGGGGGGCGGCCGCCTTCTTGTCGGGGCCGCCGGGCCCCCCTGGCCCCGCGGCGCCCGCGGGTTTGCGGCCGCGCTTCTTGGGCACGGCCGGGCTGTCGGGCTCGGCGCGGCGCTTGCGGCCCGGCCGGCGCGGCGCCGGGGGGGCGGCGGGGCCCGGCTGCCCCGGCGAGAACGGCATCTTCACCAGCAGCTTCCCGGGGGGCTTCTCCAGCGCCCGCTTGGCCTGGCCGCCCCCCCCTTCGGCCGCCGGAGCCGCCGAAGCCGCCGCCTTGGGCCGGGAGCCGCCGCTGCCCTTGGGCCGCCCCCGGCCGCGGCCCGTCCCGGGGCCCTTGGGCGATTTGGGCTTCTTGGGGGGTCGCTGCTCGCGGCGCGAGGGGCTCCCGCGCCCCGTCACCGTGAAGTCGAAGTCGTTGGGGTCCAGCGAGGTGTCCCCCACCTTCTCGAAGTAGGCGATCAGCTCCACCTTGGAGCGGAAGGCTTTTCCCTGCGGGCTGGGGGAGGGAGAAAAGGGACGGTCAGCGCCGGCCGGCGGGACCCCCACCCCGAGCGGAGCCCCCTCCCCGAGCCCCCCGGCACTCACTTGATCAGGTACACGTCGTACTTGCCGGCCGAGCGCCCCGACTTGCGCTGCTTGAGCTTGCGGGTCCAGCCCTCGGGCAGCGTGGGGTCGTCGTACATGGGCCCGCGGTCGCGGATGATGGAGCGGCGCTGCTTGGGCGACGCCGACGCCTCGGGCGCCGCGGGGGCCGCCCCGGCCCCCTCCGAGCTCTCGGCCTTGCCGGCCTCGGCGGGCTCGGCCGCGGGCTGCGCCGGCTCCGGCTCCTTCCGCTCCTTCTTCACCTTCTTGGCCTTGGGCGGCCGCTGCAGGTTCTCCTCGGCCTTCTCCTCGCTGCGGGGAGAGAGAGCGGGGTCAGGGGTGGGGACACATGTGGGGACACACGGACACAATCCCTGGACACAGCCCGGGTCAGGGGTGGGTACACGGACACAGGGACACAACCCCTGGACACAGCCCAGGTCAGGGGTGGGTACACGGACAGAGGGACACAGGGACATGGGGACACAGCCCAGGTCAGGGGTGGGTACAGAGACATATGGAAACGGTCCTTGGACACAGCACAGGTCAGGGGTGGGCAGGCGGATACAGGGACACAGGGACAGAGGAGCACGGCTCAGGGGTGGATTAATGGACAGAGGGACACAGGGACACAACCCCTGGACACAGCCCAGGTCAGGGGTGGGTACACAGACACATGGACACAGGGACACAGCCTGGGTCAGTGGTGGGTACACAGACACATGGACACGGTCCCTGGACACAGCCCGGGTCAGAGGTGGGTACATGGACACAGGGACACGGCCCTGTGGGACCCTGGACACAGCATGGGGCAGTGGTGGGCACGCGGACACACGGACACGGCCCTACAGGATCTCAGGCACAGAGCGGGTCAGTGCTGGACACACGGACACACGGACATGGCCCTGCAGGAGCCTGGACACTGCACAGGTCAGTGCTGGACACAAAGACACATGGACATGGTCCTGCAGGAGCCTGGACACTGCACAGGTCAGTGCTGGACACACGGACACATGGACATGGTGCTGTAAGAGCCTGGACACTGCACAGGTCAGTGCTGGACACACGGACACACGGACATGGCCCTGCAGGAGCCTGGACACTGCACAGGTCAGTGCTGGACACACGGACACATGGACATGGCCCTGCAGGAGCCTGGACACTGCACAGGTCAGTGCTGGACACACGGACACATGGACATGGTCCTGCAAGAGCCTGGACACTGCACGGGTCAGTGCTGGACACACGGACACCGACGGACAGACGGACGCAGCCCCACAGGTCTCTGGACACAGGGTGGGTCAGCACTGGACACACGGACACAGCCCCAGTACCCCAGTCAATGCCGGACACATGGACACCAATGGATGCCGATGGACACGGCTCTGCCACTCTTCAGAGTGACAGACAGACGGACAGAGGCCCACAGGTCCCTGGACACAGAGTGGGTCAGAGCCGGACACACAGACATCGATGGACACATGGACACGGCCCCAATCAGTGCTGGACACACGGACACCGACGGACACACGAACACAATCCCAGTGCTGCAGTCAGTGCTGGACACACGGACACTGACGGACACCGATGGACACCAACGGACACGGCCCCGCCGCTCCTTGGACTGACAGACAGATGGACACGGCCCTGCAAGTCCCTGGACCCAGAGTAGGTCAGCACTGGACACACGGACATCGATGGACACACAGACATGGCCCCGCTCCTCCTCAAAATTGATGGACAGACAGACATGGCCCTAAAGGTCCCTGGGCACAGAGCAGGTCAGCGCTGGACACACGGACACGGGGTCAGTCAGTGCTGGACACACCGACACCGACGGACACACGGACACAGCCCCAGTGCCCCAGTCAGTGCCGGACACACCGACACCGACGGACACACGGACACAGGCCCAGTGCCCCAGTCAGTGCTGGACACACGGACACCGACGGACACACGGACACCACCGGACACACGGACATGGCCCCGCCACTCCTTGGACTGATGGACAGATGGACATGGCCCTGCAGGTCCCTGAACACAGAGCAGGTCAGTGCTGGACACACTGACACTGACGGACACACGGACACCGACGGACACACGGACACCGACGGACACCGCCAGCCAAGGCCCCACAACTGCCAGGACAGCGGTGCCAGAACGGGGAGAAACGGCGCGGGATTGGGCAAAGTGCGGGAAGGGACCGTCCTGTGTCCCATCCCAGAGGGAAGGGCGGGAGGAGGAGGAGGAGGAGGAGGAGGAGGAGGAGGAGGAGGAGGAGGAGGAGGAGGAGGAAGAGGAGGAGGAGGAGGAAGGAGGGGGGACGGCCCGTGCCGGGCGGGAATTACGGCTGTGCTGGGCAAACATTCCCCTGGTGGGATAAAAGAGCCCAGTGAGGGGGTCAGGGGGGGCCTGGACACCCCCTCCCCTTCCCTGAGGCCTCGTCCCAGCACAGCCACACGAGGGTCCAACAGCCCCGTGACCCCCAAAAACAGCCCCGGGGGGCTCCGGGGGGTCCCTGCCCAGGGGCTCGGGGGTCCCAGGGGGTCCTCGGGGTGGTGCCCGGCTGGTGGTGGCACTGGGGGCTCGGCTGTGGGTGTCACCACACCCTGGGACCCCTCACTGGTGTCACCACCGGGCGCGGGGACGGGACGTGCCCCGCAGGGGTCCCTCGGGCACAGCCCCCTGTGGTGGGGGGGGTGTTTGGGGGTCCTGGTGGGACCCCTCATTGGTGTTGCCGCCGTGGGGGTCCCGTCCTGGCAACGAAACACAGACAGGTGAGGCTGGGGGGGATGTGAGACCCCCGGGGGTGGCTCCTGACGGTGCCCCTTGATGGGGGGGTGGGTCGCAGCCCCCCATGACGGCCCTGGGGGGGTCTCATCCAGCGCTGGGGGGTCCCCATGGAGTTGGGGGTCCCAGCAGTGCCATCCCCCATCCCTGTCCCATCAGAGCCGGGATCAGGAGCCCCCCCTGCCGACCCCCGACCCCTCCCAAACCCTCCCCATTCACGGAGGGCACTACTGGGACCCCCGGGGACCCCCCAGGGACCCTCCCAGGGACCCCCGGATGGTGGTGGGAGCCCCCCGTGCCCCAGGGAGGGTATTGGGGTCTGGCACAGCCCCCCCTGATGGGGGGGATGTTGGGGGGAACATCGGGGTCCCCACAGTGCCGGGATCTGGTGGGGACTCCCCTGACAGAGCTGTGGGACCAAGACCCCCCGCCCTGGGTGATGCTGAGGGACCCCCGGACCCTCCAGCGGTGCCGCTGAGGGTCCCGGGATGGCCCTGGGGGTCTTGGGGGGTCTGGGATGGCCCTGGGGGTCAGGCGGGTTTGGGATGGCCCTGGGGGTCTCAGGGGTCTCAGGGGAGTTTGGGATGGCCCTGGGGGTCTCAGGGGTCTCAGAGCAGGTGTGAGTGGCACAGTGAGGGTGGGCGTGAGCGGTCGAATTTGGAGGATTCCGGGAAAATTCCAGGGGATTCCGGCGTAATTTGGGAAATTTCGGAGCGATTTGGGGAATTTCGGGGGTAAATTGGGGAGTTTTGGGGCGATTTGGGGTGATCTGGGGTACAAACGCAGCTTTGGGGTGGTTTGGGACGGGATTTGGGGGGATTCGGGAGCGCTTGGAGGGGTCGTGGGAGTGCAGCCGTTTTGGGGCAATTTGAGGCATTTTGGGGCAATTTGAGGCGTTTTGGGGTAATTTGAGGTGTTTTTGGGGCTCAATATTCGGGGCAGTTTGGGATATTTTGGGGCAATTCCGGGTATTTTTGGGCACAGGGCGGCCACGAAGTTTTGGGTAATTTTGGGGCAATTTTTGGTATTTGGGGTGACTTGGGGTAATTTTGGGGTAACTCAGGGTAATTCGGGGCTTTTTTTTGAATTTTGGGGTAACTCTGGGTAATTCTGGGGGTAACTCAAGGTGTTTGGGGGTAACTCGGAGTGTTTCGGGGCACCGCGTGACGAGGGGATTTTGGGCCAATTTTGGGGATTTGGGGGTAATTCTGGGTAGTTTTGGGGTAACTCAGGGTATTTTGGGGCATTCTGTCATGAAGGGATTTAGGGGCAATTTGGGGGATTTTGGGGTAACTCAGGGAGTTTTTGGGGCGTCCCATAATCAGCAGTTTAGGGCAATTTTGGATATTTTTGGGCAACACATGAGCGCGACATTTTGGGCAATTTAAAGGGATTTTGGGGTGTCGGAGAGTCTTGGGGTGCAGCGTGAGCAGCAGCTTGGGGCAATTTTGGGTATTTTGGGGCGCAGCGTTTTGGGGTAATTTGAGGAGGTTTTGGGCGCCCCGTGAGCAGCAGTTTGGGGCAATTTTAGGTATTTTGGGGCACAGCGTTTTGGGGTAATTTGAGGAGGTTTTGGGCGCCCCGTGAACAGCAGTTTGGGGCAGTTTCAGATATTTTGAGGTGCAGAATTTTGGGACAATTTTGGGGATTTTGGGGTAACTCAGGGAGTTTTTGGGGCGCCCCGTGAGCACCAGTTTGAATCAGTTTGGGGTATTTTGGGGTGCAGAACAAGCCATTTTGGGGGAATTTGGGGGTAACTTGGGGAGGTTTTGGGATGTCCCATGAGCAGCACTTTGAGGTTATTTTGGGGTGCAGCATTTTGGGTAACTCAGGGACTTTTTGGGGTGTCCCGTGAACAGCAGTTTGGGGTAATTTTGGGCATTCTGGGGCGCAGAATTTTGGGGATTTTGGGGTAACTCGGGGGTTTTTGGGGCGCCCCGTGAACAGCAGTTTGGGGCAATTTTGGGTATTCTGGGGCACAGAATTGTGTGGCAATTTGGGGGATTTTGGGGTAAGTCGGGGAGTTTTAGGGTGCCCTGTGAGCAGTAGTTTGGAGCAATTTCTGATATTTTAGGGCACCACGTGAACGCGGCATTTTGGGCAATTTTGGGGTAACTCAGGGAGTTTTTTGAGCAGCAGTTTTGGGTATTTTGGGGTGCAGAACAAGCTGTGACATTTTGGGGGAATTTGGGGGTAACACGGGGAGTTTTGGGGGCACAGCGGGAGCAGCAGTTTGGGGCAATTTTGGGGCGCAACATTTTGGGTAACTCGGGGAGTTTTTGGAGCATCCCGTGAGCAGCAGTTTGGGGCAGTTTTGGCTATTTTGGGGCACAGAATTTTAGGACAATTTGGGGAATTTTGGGGTAAGTCGGGGAGTTTAGGGACACAGCAGGAGCAGCGTTTCGGGGCGCGGGATTTTGGGGCCATTCGGGGGATTTTTGGGTAACTCGGGGGATTTCGGGAGGGCGGCACTTTGGGACAATTTGGGGGATTTCGGGGCACGGCAGGAGCGCAGAATTTCGGGGTGACTCAAGGTGTTTTGGGGTGACTCGGGGGGTTTTGGGGTACCCCGTGAGCAGCAGTTTGGGGCAGTTTCAGGTATTTTGGGGCTCAGCATTTTGGGGTGACTCGGGGGGTTTTGGGGTGACTCGGAGTGACCGGGGGAGGGTCCCGAGGAGTTTTGGGGTGACTCGCGGGGGGGGTCTCGGGGTGATTTTGGGGGGTTTCGGGGGTCTCCCCGTGCACGGCGCGCAGGACTCGCAGAGGGTGTGTCCCGTTGTGGGGGGTCCCCGTTTCCCGTCCCACCAAGGGCGGTCCAGAGCCCCCTCCCTCCATGTGGGGCAGCCCTGGGGTCCCCGATTTGGGGGCTGTCGGGGGTGCAGCATTCGGGGGCGCAGGGGAAGGGTGTCCCCATCCCAGGGCGGCTCGAGGCGGGGCGGGGTCTCCTCGCTCCGGGGTGGGTGAGGGTGGGGGTACCCGCGGGGGTCGCGATGCCCTGCGGGGTCCCCGAGCCGGGGGCCCTTCCCGCCCCCGGGCCGGGCTCGGGGGCCGCGGCCGCTCGTGACGCACTCGCGGCGCTCACCCCCTCACCAACCCCCGCTCCCGGTTCCTGGAGGAAGGAGAGAAGGAGAAGAAGGAGGAGGAGGGGGTGTGAGGAGAGGGGGCGTGTGTGTGTGTGTGTGTGTCTGTGAGGGGGTCTCGCGCGCGCGCGGCAGCCGCTCCCCCACCTCATCTCTCTCCCCTTCCAAACCACCACAGCGCGGCCCTTCCAGCGGCTCCCCGGCGCCCGCCGCCCCCTCCCCACTCACAGCCGCCCCTCGTCGCCGCTCGGCGCCGCCGCCGCCATTTTCTTCGCAGCGAAGAACCCGCGGGGGGCGCGGGGGAGCCGTGAGGGGAGCGGGGGGCGGGGGAGGACGGGGGGCGGCCCGGGCCGAGCGGCGACGGGAACCCGGAGCGGCGCCGGCCCCGCCCCTCCGGCCGCGCCCGATTGGCCGCCGCGCCCGTCGCTCAAGGCCGGGGCGCCCCGCGATTGGCCCGCGGCTCCCGCCCCGCGGCGGGCGGGGCCGGCGCGCTCGCGCCGGGCCGTTGGAATTGGCGGAAGCGCTGTCAGTTAAGGGGCGGGGCTTCGTGAGGGGGGAGAGGCGGGGGGCGGGGCCGAGCGGAGCGCGCGCGGCCGCCCATTGGGCCCCGCGCCGGGACGCCGCGCGCTGATTGGGCGGGGGGGATGTCAGTCAGGCGGAGCGCGCGAAAGGGGCGGGGCGAGGCCCCCAAATTCCCCCCCCGCCCGGGGCTGAGAACGGTTTGAAATCCAACGGCCGTAACGGTCCGGGAGGGACACGCCCCCTTCCCGCGGGGACACGCCCACCCACCCGCGGACACGCCCTCTCGCAACGGGAACACGCCCACCCACACCGGGACACGCCCCTTCGGGGCCACGCCCGGGGCCACGCCCAGGACACGCCCAGCCCGCCCCGGGTCCTGCTGCCCCTCGGACCCGCGGGGGAACCGCGGGGACATCGCGGGGAGCTCGGGGGGTCTCGACTGTCCCCGGGTGTCCCGGGGGACCTCAGAGGGACTCACCTGTCCCCAGGCGCCTCACAGGATCCTCACCTGTCCACAGGTGTCCCGGGGGACCTCAGAGGGACTCACCTGTCCCCAGGCACCTCACAGGACCCTCACCTGTCCCCAGGTGTCCCAAGAGACCTCGGGGACCCCCAGGTGCCTTATGGGGACATCAGGATTCTCACCTGTCCTCAGGTGTCCCAGGGGGACCTCAGGCTCTTCACCTGTCCCCAGGTGTCCAAGGAGGTCCTCACCTGTCCCCAAGTGTCTCACAAACACTTCACCTGTCCCCAGGTGTCCCAGGGGGACCTCAACTGTCCCCAGGAGTCCCAGAGGGTTCTCACCTGTCCCCAGGTGTCCCAGGAGGTCCTCACCTGTCCCCAGGTGTCTCACGGGGATCCCAACCAGTAAAGCACCAGTATGAGCACCACAGCCACCAGTCCGGGGGCTGCAGCCACCAGTACAGGCACTGTAGTCAGTTCCCACTATCCCCAGTTATGGGCACCACAGCCACCAGTACAGACACTGTGGCCACCAGTCTGGGCATGACAGCCACCGACCAGTACGGGCACTGTGACCACCAGTATGGGGACAATGGCCACCAGTATGGGAGCTGTGACCACCAGTATGGGCACTGTGACCACCAGTACGGGCACTGTGACCACCAGTATGGGGACAATGGCCACCAGTACGGGAGCTGTGACCACCAGTATGAGCACTGGGGCCACCAGTCCAGGACCAGTAAGGGGGTCACGGCCCCCAGTGCAGCCCCTGGGGGGGGGGCGGGGCTACTCCCGTGTGCCCCCCCCGGGCGGGGGATGAGCGCGGATGGAGCACTAATCCCCCCTCTGGACCCCCCCGGACCCCTCCATGGGGCAGCCCCAGACCCCCCGCAGTACCCCCACACCCCCGTGTCCCCCCAAACCCCTCCCTCCATGGGGCAGCCCCAACCCCCTTTCCTCCCTCCCCACCTCACTCCCCACGGGGAAGCCCCCCGAACCTCCCCCTCAGGGAGCAGCCCCAACCCCCAAATCGCCCCCGGGACTCCTCCCACCTCCCTGCCCCCTCCCACTATGGGGCAACCCCAAGATCCCCCACAGCCCCCAACCCCCCAACGAAGCAGCCCCCGAGACCCCCCAGCCCCCAGTCCCTCAGACACCCCAGGCCCCTCAAAAACCCCGGCCCACCTCGGAGCCCCCGACCCCCAGCCCCCGGACACCCTGGACTCCCCATCCTCCTTGGGGCAGCTCCAGCCCCCGAAACCCCCTCAGATCCCCCACGGGGCAGCCCCACGAACCCCCAGCCCTCCTGGGACCACCCAAACCCCAGCCTCCAGCAAACCCCCCATGAACAGCCCACGACCTCCCCAGCCCCCGACCCCCCAGCCTCACGACCACCCCTCCAAGCCCCACGACCCTCCCCAAACTCCCCTGTCCCGTCCCCCAGTTTCCCCAGTAGGCCCCTCCGTGTCCTCCCCTCTCCCGGCCCCCTCCCCCGTTTCGGGGTCCCGCCCCAGGATTTGGGGCATCTCCGGGGATTGTCCCTAATCCCGGCGATTCCTGACCCCCGGGATTAGGGGCGCGGAGGGGTGGAGGGAGGTCGGGGGGAGGTCCCCGAGGCCCCCTGGGACATGTAGTCCCCAGAACCCCCGGGAGGGGGCGGGACCCCAAATGTACTCCGAGACCCCAAAACCCAGCGAGGGGGATTGGGGAGCACCAGAGGGTCTGGGGACACGGGGGGGACTCGGGGAGGGGTTTGGGGGCTACAGAGGGGCTCTAGGGGTACAGGGGGAGTCAGGGGGTTTGGGGTGCAGGACGAGAGTCAGAGGGGTTTTGGGGTGCCGAGGGAAGGTTCGGGAGGGTTTTGGGGTTCAGGGAGAGCCGGGGTGGGTTGGGAGATGTCGGAGGGCTCAGGAGGGAGTTTGGGGTGCCAGGGATGTCGGGAGGGGATTCGGGACGAGGAGGGATTTTGGGGTGCAGGGGGGCGTTAGAGGGGCTTGGGGTGCCAGGGGAGTCAGGAGGATTTGGGGGTAAGGGGGAGGCGCGAGGGTTAGGTGCAGGGGAGGTCAGGGGGTTGGAGGCACACGGAGGAGTCAGAGGGGTTTGGGGGTACAGGGGGTCTCTGGAGGGGTTTTGGGTGCCAGGTGGGAGTCAGGGGGTTTTGGGGTGCCGGGGAGTGTCTGAAGGGTTCTGGGACACGGGGGTGGCTCGAGGGATTTTGGGGTGCAGGTGGAGATTAGGATACTTTGGGGGTACAGGGGGATCGGGAGGGGTTTGGGGTGCAGGGCAGAGTCAAGGGGGTTGGGGTGCAGGGTGGTCCCAGGGGAGAGAATGTTGGAGGTGGAGGGTGGTCTCAGTGAGGTTTTGGGGCGCAGGGTGGTCCCAGAGGGGTTTTGGGGTGCAGGAAGGGGTCGGGAGGGTTTTGGGGTGCAGGGAGAGTCGTGGGGTTTTGGGGGGCAGGAAGGGGTCAGGAAGGTTTTGGGGCACAGGGTGGTCCCAGAGGGTTTTGGGGCACAGGGTGGTCCCAGGGGGTTTTGAGGGGCAGGAAGGGGGTCAGGAGGGTTTTGGGGGCTCAGGGTGGTCCCGGGATGGGGTGTGGGGTGCAGGGTGGTGCCGGGGAGGTTTGGGGGGCAGGAAGGGGTCAGGAAGGTTTTGGGGTGCAGGGTGGTCTCAGTGAGGTTTGGGACACAGGGTGGTCCCAGGGGGTTTTGGGGCGCAGGAAGGGGTCAGGAAGGTTTTGGGGTGCAGAGTGGTCTCAGGGGGTTTTGGGGGGCAGGAAGGGGGTCAGGGGGTTTGGGGGGCTCAGGGTGGTCCTGGATGGGGTGTGGGGGTTCAGGGTGGTCCCGGGGAGGTTTCGGGGTGCAAATGTGGGGCTCAGGCATCCTCGTGACACCCCTTGCCTGCTTTCCAGCCCCCGCCGTCCCTCGGGGGTGCTTTGGGGACACAGCAGGTCCCGGGAGGGGGAGAGGGAAGGCGGATGGGGGCGGGGGCCGCCCCTCCCTTTGTGCCTGGACCTAATTAAACCTTTAATTTTTTTTTCATTTTGGGCGGGGGGGGGAAGGTTTTCTGACGCCTCCCTGATCCCCCCCAACCCCTCTAATCGGGGGCTCGGGGTGATTAGACCCCCAAAAGCCGCCTAAGCCCGGCTTGGCCAGCGCCGGGCGCGGGATGAGCCGGGCTGAGCCGCGCTTTGCCGCCTGAGCCCCGATTAACGCCCCGCGTTTGGGGTGGGCTGGGCAGGGGGGGTCGGCCCGGCCCCATCCGCCCCCCTACCCTATAAAAAGGGTCCCTCCCGCCGTCGCCCCCCGCCCCGTGTCCGCCCTGCGCCGCCCCCCCGCCCCCAGCCATGCAGAAGCCGCGGGAGATGCGGGACGAGCTGCCCGAGGACTTCTACATCCCCATGAGCCTGGAGACCCCCAACCTGACGGCGCTGAGCCCCTTCCTGGTGCCGCAGACCCACCTGGGCAGCCCCGGCGTGTTCAAGGCCATGGCCGTGTTCATGTTCCTGCTGATCTCGCTGGGGCTGCCCATCAACGGCCTCACCATCGTCTGCACCGCCAAGTACAAGAAGCTGCGCTCGCACCTCAACTACATCCTGGTCAACCTGGCCGTGGCCAACCTGCTGGTCATCTGCGTGGGCTCCACCACCGCCTTCTACAGCTTCTCCCAGATGTACTTCGCCCTGGGGCCCACGGCCTGCAAGATCGAGGGCTTCGTCGCCACGCTCGGGGGTACCGGAGGGGGACGGCGGGGAGGGAGGGAGAGAGGGAGGGAGAGAGGAAGAGAGGGAGAGAGGGAGGGAATGGGGGTGTTGGGAGTGGGGCTTTGGGAATGGGGACGTTGGGGTAGAAGGGCGTTGTGGCCTGGAGATGTTGGGTCTGGGGATGTTGGGAGTGGGAACATTGGGAATGGGGGTGTTGGGAATGGGGACGTTGGGAATGGGGGCGTTGGGAATGGGGATGTTTGGTCTGGGGACATTGGGAATGGGGATGTTGGGAATGGGGGCGTTGGGAATGGAGGTGTTGGGAATGGGGACGTTGGGGTAGAAGGTCACCATGGTCTTGGGATGTTTGGTCTGGGAATGTGTGGGAGTGGGGATGTTGGGAATGGGAACGTTGGGAATGGGGATGTTGAAGTAGAGGGTCATCGTGGCCTGGGGATATGTGGGAATGGGGACGTTGGGAATGGTGGTGTTGGGAATGGGGACGTTGGGGTAGAAGGTCATTGTGGTCTGGGGACGTTGGGAATGGGGGCATTGGAAAGGGGATGTTGGAAATAGGGGTACTGGGAATGGGGGTGTTGGGAACAGGGACATTGGGAATGGGGACATTGAGGTAGAAGGTCATTGTGGCCTGGGGACGTTGGGAATGGGGGCATTGGGAATGGGGATGTTGGGAATAGGGGTACTGGGAATGGGGGTGTTGGGAGCAGGGACATTGGGAATGGGGACATTGAGGTAGAAGGACATTGTGGTCTGGGGATGTTGGGAATGGGGACATTGGGAATGGGGATGTTGGGAACGGGGATGTTGGGAATGGGGACATTGAGGTAGAAGGGTATTATGGTCTGGGAATGTTGGGTCTGGGGATACTGGGAATGGGGATGTTGGGAATGGGGACGTTGAGGTAGAAGGGCGTTGTGGTCTGGGAATGTTGGGTCTAGGGGCATTGGGAATGAGGATGTTGGGAGTGAGGGCGTTGGGGTAGAAAGGTCGCTATGGCCTCGAGATGTTGGATCTGGGGACGTTGGGAATGGTGACTTTGGGAATGGGGATGTTGGGAATGGGGTCATTGGAAATGGGGGCGTTGGAAATAGGGGCACTGGGAATGGGGGTGTTGGGAATGGGGGTGTTGGGAATGGGGACGTCAGGAATGGGGACGTTGGGGTAGAAGGTCACCATGCCTGGGGATGTTGGGTCTGGGGACGTTGGGATTGGGGATGTTGGGAATGGGGATGTTGGGAATGGGGACTTTGGGGTAGAAGGTCATCGTGGTCTGGGGATGTTGGGTGTGGAGACATTGGGAACGGGAATGTTGGAAAGGGGACGGTAGGAATGGGGACGTTGGGGTAGAAGACCATTGTGGTCTGGGGATGTTGGGAATGGGGATGTTGGGAATGAGAGTGTTGGGAGTGGACACGTTGGGAATGGGGATACTGGGAATGGGAGTGTTGGGAGTGGACACGTTGGGAATGGGGATGTTGGGAATGGGGACATTGAGGTAGAAGGTCATCGTGGTCTGGGGATATTGGGTCTGGAGACATTGGGATGTCACACTGTGTCCCCCTGTCCCCAGGGTTCGTGCCCCTATGGTCCCTGACCGTGGTGGCAGTGGTGTCACCCCTGTCCCCCTGTGTCCCCTGTCCCCAGGGTTCGTGCCCCTATGGTCCCTGACCGTGGTGGCAGTGGTGTCACCCGTGTCCCCTGTCCCCAGGGTTCGTGTCCCTGTGGTCCCTGGGGATGATGGGGGTGGTGGCAGTGGTGTCCCCCTGTGTCCCCTGTCCCCAGGGTTCGTGTCCCTGTGGTCCCTGGGGATGATGGGGGTGGTGGCAGTGGTGTCACCCGTGTGCTCGTCTGTCCCCAGGGTTCGTCCCCCTGTGTCCCTGGGGATGACGTGGGGTGCTGCCAGGGTGTCGGCCGTGTCCCTGCTGTGTCCCCTGTGCAGGGTTGTGTCCCTGTGGGTGCCCTGGGGCGTGGGCAGTGGTGTCAGCGGTGTCCCCGTGTCCCCTTGTCCCAGGGCCGGTGGCAGTGGTGTCACGAGTACAGTCCCTGTCCCAGGGTTCGTGGTCCCTGGTCCCCAGGGAAGTGGTGTCACCCGTGTCCCCCTGTCCCCAGGGTTCGTGTCCCTGTGGTCCCTGGGGATGATGGGGATGGCACAGGGGGGTGGTGGCAGTGGTGTCACCCGTGTCCCCTGTCCCCAGGGTTCGTGTCCCTGTGGTCCCTGACCGTGGTGGCAGTGGTGTCACCCATGTCCTCCCGTGTCCTCTGTCCCCAGGGTTCGTGTCCCTGTGGTCCCTGGCCGTGGTGGCCTTCGAGAGGTTCCTGGTGATCTGCAAACCGCTGGGGAACTTCACGTTCCGGGGCAGCCACGCCGTGCTGGGCTGTGCCATCACCTGGATCTTCAGCCTCATCGCCTCCGTGCCCCCCCTCTTCGGCTGGAGCAGGTCCGGGGGGCACGGGGGCATGGGGAGTTAGGGCAGGGGCAGTTGGGGTCCCAGGGTTTGGGGCCTAATGGCAGTTGAGGATCTCAAGGGTTTTGGGGTCCCAGGAGTTTGGGAGTCCCAAGATTTGGGGCTCTAATGGCAGTGGGGATCTCAAGGAGGTTTGGGGGTCCCAGGGGGTTGGCAGTCCCAGAAGGAGTTGAGGGTCTCAGGGGTTTGGGGTCTGATAGAGTTGGGGATCTCAGGGGAGTTGGGGTCCCAGGGGAGTTGGGGGTCTCAGGGGAGTTGGGGGTCTCAGGGATTGACGGTCCCAAGGATTTGGGGCTCTAATGGCAGCTGGGGTCTCAAGGGCATCTGGGGTCCCAGGGGAGTTGGGGTCTCAGGGGATTGGGGGTCCCAGGGGAGTTGGAAGTCCCTGGGGGTTTGGGTCTCAAAGCCCCAAGGACTTGGGACTCTAATGGCAGTTGGGGACCTCAAGGAGTTTTGGGGTCCCTGGGGTTTGGGGTCCCAGGGGAGTTGGGGGTCTCAAGGGGGTTTGGGATTCCAGTGGGAGATGGGGATCTTAAGGGTGTTTGGGGTCCTCGGGGTTTGGGGGTCCCAGGGGAGTTGGAAGTCCCAGGGGTTTGGGGCTCTAATGGCAGTTGGGGACCTCAAGGGAGTTTTGGGGTCTCCAGGGTTTGGGGGTCCCAGGGGGAGTTGGGTGTCCCATGGGGTTTGGGGTTCCCAGGGGGAGTTGGGGGTCTCAAGGGAGTTTGGGATTCCAATGGGAGCTGGGGATCTTAAGGGGGTTTGGGATCTCCGGGGTTTGGGGTCCCAGGGGAGTTGGAAGTCCCAGGGTTTTGGGGCTCTAATGGCAGTTAGGGACCTCAAGGGAGTTTTGGGGTCTCCAGGGTTTGGGGTCCCAGGGGAGTTAGGTGTCTCAAGGGGGTTTGAGGTTCCCAGGGGAGTTAGGGGTCTCAAGGGGTTTGGGATTCCAATGGGAGCTGGGGATCTTAAGAGGTTTGGGGTCCCTGGGGTTTGGGGGTCCCAGGAGAGTTAGGGTCCCAAGGACTTGGGGCTCTAATGGCAGTTGGTGACCTCAAGGGAGTTTGGGGTCCCCGGGGTTTGAGGAGTCCCAGGGGAGTTGGGGATCTCAGGGGGTTTGGGATTCCAGTGGGAGTTGGGGATCTTAAGGGGGTTTGGGGGTCCCAGTGGGAGTTGGGGGTCTCAAGAGGGTTTGGGGGTCACAGGGGGGGTTGGGGGCCATGGGTGGTTGGAGGTCCCCAGGCCATCCCAGCCCCTCCGTGTTCCCCCCCCCAAGGTACATCCCTGAGTGGCTGGACTGGGGGTCCCGGGGATGTGGGTGGATTTGGCGGTCCCAGGGGCAGTTTGGGGGTCCCGGGGCAGTTCGAGGGTCCCAGGGGCAGTTCGGGGTCCCGGGCCATCCCAGCCCCTCCTTTTGGCCCCCCCAGGTACATCCCCGAGGGGCTGCAGTGCTCGTGCGGCCCGGACTTGGGGTCCTAGGGGATGTGGAGGGATTTGGGGGTCCAGGGGTGGTTTGGGGTCCAGGGGCAGTTTGGGGTCCCAGGGCCATCCCAGCCCTCCTTTGGACCCCAGGTACATCCCCGAGGGGGCAGTTTAGGGTCCAGGGCCATCCCAGCCTCTCCTTTTGGCCCCCAGGTACATCCCCGAGGGGCTGCAGTGCTCGTGCAGCCCGGACTGGGGTCCCTGGGGATGTCAGGGGAGTTTGGGGGTCCTGGGGCAGTTTGGGGGTCCTGAGGGCCATCCCAGCCCCTCCTTTCCGGACCCCCAGGTACATCCCCGAGGGGCTGCAGTGCTCGTGCGGCCCGGACTGGGGGTCTCAGGGATGTGGGAGGTTGGGGTCCCAGGGGCAGTTTAGGGGTCCCGGGGGCAGTTCGGGGTCCTGAGGCCATCCCAGCCCCTCCTTTGGCCCCCCAGGTGCATCCCCGAGGGCTGCAGTGCTCGTGCAGCCCTGTACTGGGAGTCCTGGGGATGTGGGGGTTTGGGGTCCCGGGGCAGTCTGGGGTCCTGGGGCCATCCCAGCCCCTCCTTTGGCTCCCCCAGGTACATCCCCGAGGGGGCTGCAGTGCTCGTGCGGCCCGG